CTCTCTCGCCCCCCCCCCCCTCTAGAGCCGTTCTTGCCAACTCTAAGCTGGTAATGGATGCCACGCCGCTGCCGCCCCACCAACCACACACTGCGGGAGAGGACGCGAAGCGAAACGGACACTGAGCACGGCGTCAGAGAGAGAGGGAGAGAGATAGGGACACAGAGACAGGTTGGGGGGAGGGGAGGGGGGTGCGGGCAAATTCAGACAAACGGAGCGCGGGGTTAGAGATGAGATTCTTGCTCGCCGTCTCGGGCCGCCTCTGAGGAGCCATGCTTCTTTCTTAGCGCTTGAGCGAGGTGGCGGCAAGGTGTCCTCCTGGTGTAGCCTCGTGTTAGCGGTGTTGCAACCCCTCTCCGCTACTTTTGCTCCCTTTTTCTGTCCCTTTACCCTGCGTTGAAACTGTCGCAAAGTTCGTTTATCGCGACTTGTCTCAGAATGGAGATTTCTTAAATCTACCCGTCTCTTTTCTTTCTCTGCTGCCCTCGTTTTAAGCCCGCCCCCCCTTCCCCTACTCCCTCCTTCAGCCCATCCCCTCTCACCCCATTTTTCACTGATGCAGCCCAGCAAGACAGATGCGGGCTCTGCCATGTCAAGTGGCAAGAATCGGTGAAACGGCGCAGTGCCTCGAAATGAACAGAAAGAGAGAGGGGGTGGGGGCGGGGGAGAACAGAGATAAAACCTCTCTGGTTTCATTCATGCATAAGCTCCAATGAAAGAAGTGCAGAGAAAAAAAATAGCGGGTCGCCGCGTTGTCAGCCAATGAGCGATCGTTGCGGTGGCTCTGTGTATAAAGAGGCCTGGCCTGCTCACCGCACTCCTGACCGCGTTCCCCTCATTGTATTGTGTGCGTTTGTGTGTTTATTTGTGTCTTTGAAATGCCCCGCCAAAATGGGACCGGGTGGGTGCACGCCGCAACAGCGCGAAGTGAAGTCGGCTAGTAGCCCCGGAACTATGTCGGTTCGTGTCGTAGGTCCATGGGCTGGGGAGCAGAGGCAAGGAATTGGGGGGGG